GTAAAGCACTGTTAGGTTCAATCCCCAATATCAAAAAAAAAAAAAAGAACAAAAAAAGAAATATTGCTGAACAGCTTCCTGAAGTACAAAGAATGACTGGATTTCAATAGTTAAAAATGATAATCCTGTAAAACTCTTAAAAAAAAAAAAAAAAACTAACCCCTACAAAGTAAAAGTTTTTAAATAACTAAATTTTAAAAAAAATCAAAGACTTTATTGGATAAGTGTTACACAACATTCTTCAACATTTAACTCTGAGCATACTTAAGATGAGAAACAATTTTTGTCATTCAAGTCTACAAAATGAAATAGGCTTGTGAAGATTTGAAATACAGACAAAAGGTAGCATGAAGCAAAGCTTAAATATTAAGCAACTAAAGCAATATAAGTGATGTCACAACATGGTCTAGATTTTAAATACCACCAAGTTTCATTTTTTAAAAAATGAAAATCTAGTTTGTAACAAAACATCTTTGAGAATTTATTATGAGAAAAAATATTTAGATACTTAAAACTCGATCTCTCCCATTTATTTTGCCTTAATATTATTACTTCTTGGTCATTCCCATTACTCTACACAAAGAATCCTAAAGCTTAGTTTAAAATCCTCATTATACAATCCACGTGTAATCCCACCAAGGCTTGGGAGTCATCTGGTTCTTGAAATGAGCCTAAAAGGTACTGCTGGTGTTAGGTATCTGAAAGGCCAAGATGACCCATGCCATCACCCTTGGGCCATCTAGAGTAGGGCACCTGATAGTACCTGTCATCTTTAGAATTTCCTGCTGCTATAGTTCCTGAGCTGACTTTTTCCAATTTGATAAGATATATAATGACTTCATAATACTGAATCTTCCAAAAAGACAACTGTAGGATGCAGTCAACACTTTTAATTACTTGCAATGTAATTAGGATTTGTATTAAGCTCACAAGGCTCAAGACTGCCTGTTTTCTTGAGTTGTAAAAAACAATCAGTCAGATAAATTAAATATTCTAAATCTTTCACCTAGAACATTTTATCAATCCTGAGCATGTGGTCATTAGGTAATTCCAAACCTATACAGTAAGATCACGGAAAGAACACCTGAGCCAAGTGCTCAGCTATCTATTATGTTGCTTCAAATGAATTTGTGGGGGTTTTTTTGGCATTTTTTTTCTTTCTTTTTTTTTTTTTTAACAAGTAACCAATATGGAATAATCTTTCTGATTTAAAAAATAAATCAGTATTGCCACTAAAAAACTTCAGTTTTTTTATTAAAAGTACGGCACCATCAAATATAAAATGCCTTAAAAATGTAGTACTAACAGGTCCATCTGATTTTCTCATGTTTTCTCCATTCATTAAAAAAGAGAAATTAAAGTTTTTCATAATATGTACTTATCAAAGAAAGAAATTATGGTCTCTACTAAGAATTCGTGTTCCATGCACAGAAAGTTCAAGCTATCTTTATGGATCTCTTCTGGCCACTCATCCCCCAGGGCCAAGTCCTACCTGACACCTGTGAGAATTTCTTGCAATTAGATGGAGGGGCTCTCTGTAAAGAGGTCCACATCAAAATTCAGATGTTGTTACCTCTTCTGAACAAGATAAAATCAATAAGGACAGAGACAAGAATAAAACTTTTTCCAGCTCAGTAAATTAAGAACTAGCTCTTGGAGTATACATTTTCACTCCAAGGTCAACACTAGACTATCCACTTGGAGTCAAAATATGAAAAGATAAGCATGTAGTTATGAAAATGTGCACAAAATGTTAAATACTAGTGGCAAATAAATACACCTTAATATGTTCTAACAAGCAAACATGTATTCAAGATAATACAGCCCTGCTTTAGTTAAAGAAAGAAATGATCCAAATTTGTTTGTTGAGTGGGGCACTTTGCCATCCCTCCAGAGGGATGTTAGATAATCTTTCCTCTTGTTTCCACTGGCACCCTGAAGGAGACATTGGCCTTAGCACGAGACTATTGCTGTTTCATAAGAACCATTCTAGAAATACCATTGCTCATATCTGAACTGATTAACATAAGCCTTGGAGCAAGCACGAACTTTAGGTATGAAAAATAATTCAGCATTTCTGCATCATCCCGTGCCCTTTAGGCCTGTCCAGACTGTACTGATAAGAACTTCACATTCTAAGGAAGTTATTGTCAGTGATTCTCCATATGTAAGATTCAAGTGAGTTCTTACGTGTATTCACATCACTTTCTCCTCATCTCATGCATAATTTATTGCAGTAGTTTTAGAAAATATTCCCTAATACCTTTTCTTCAGTTTATTATAATGCAAGTGCCCCTTTATAGACTTTTGGGTTTAACCACTGCCTTAACATTTACTTCTTAGTGCAGCTTTAAAAATCTCCAATTTCATTCAGTCCTGATGCTCTGATGTTCTCTGTCATTGTGGTACAGGTCCATGAAACCAGCAGCCTGCTAATGTCTTTGTGCTGAAATATAGTAAAGAAAAGGAAGAAAATGTAGTTAAGCACAGGTAATTATATAAGAAATAAAGAAGTCCTTGTTTAAATTAAGCCCTATATAGATTTATGGGACTTTTTCTTTTAAATCAGTTAAACTTGACCATTTTTTTGAGGAAAAAACTTACTGCCATTCTAAAACAGAAGCATTTGTTATTTCTGAAGTTTATGTGGCCAAATTCCAACACAAGTTAAATGCTGCCATCTTCACATAATCATTCTGCACTTGAGTCTTTTTTATATATATATATACATGTTCATGAATATTTGCCTGCTGACAGGGAAATTTTAACTTTGTTCTTTATGTTGACATACCAAGGTAATAAGAAGTCAGCATAGCTGGTATGGACTACTGGGAAACACGAGCCTTCTCTAGCACAAGAGAGCCTACAGTCTTAGGAAGCAAAATTTATATAATAGAACCAGTCTACTGAAAAATCAACTGAAGATCACCCTGTTTGCACATGTGCACACAGTAAATAAGAGGGGAGTGGAGGGTGCCTCCCCAGAGGTAGACACAGCACATCAGAAGGCATCAAGAGTACCATTTTGATACTGGAAGACAACTGAGGTACACTGGTTAGACCACAGTGTCCCTTATTACACCAGCAAACTTGATTACTGACAAAGCTTACTTTACTTCACCACAGCTCCAACAAAAAACAGGACTCAAGCATGTGCTTACAGAGAGCAAGGCTTATAAAAATTACTGCCAAGTAGCATGACCAATGCCCAACATTACCAACCTCCTAATATCACAAAGTAGTAAGAATCCCACTGAAACCCTCTATAATCAATGGGAGCTTCTCTCAATGTGGGAGCTTAAGTGCCAATGAAAGTTTGAACTCCAGAAGAAGCGATCCATGGAAAGAAACATGAGTTTGTTTACTTGTTTGTTTTTTGTCAAATGCATTTTTAAACCAGAGATATGGTATTTTGGTGAAATAATAACACACAAACAATGCAAAAAAGGAAAAATGAAACCACCCCATCCTTCTCAATGTTTAACTTCCAAACAAAGTAGGCGACTTTCCTGTGGTATTATTTAACAAACACTTGACTTTATGTTAACTTCCCAGTGTTGTCGTGCTTCATCTGCTTAGTGGATCAAGGCCTATAAGATAAATTCCACAGGACATCCTATCACATTTCTTTACAAACAATGAAAAATGACTTGTAGCCATAAATAATGCACACATCAATATGAAAGGCGGAGGCAGTCCTCGCTTCTGAAGAAAAAGAATGATTAAGTTTTATAATTCCACGTTAAGAAAAGTTTTTACTTTCTAAAAGTAAGAGATCCAGCTAATATGATCACAATCCTCACAGATTTAGACTCACATAAAACTTTTTTGAGAGAAAAAAGGGTCAATGCCACATATGATTCCATTTCCTTCTATTTTTGAGTCTCAAAACCTGACTGATCTTCCTGAGGCCTCCTCAAGTTCAGTTAAGATCAGAGCAGGAAAGCCAAGGATTCCTATGAGAGGGGCAGAAAACCGAAACCACTGTTCCCTCAAGAGATCACTGTAAGGTAGCTACCACCATTACAGATGAGTCCCAAATTCAACCAGTCTCTGATCTAAAACATGCCCTTCTGACACAGCTTGCAAATTATAACTCATTTGCAACTACTTAGCTCTTCAGTAGCTGCAAAAATACCAGGTTAACAGCGCTGCCCCTACCCCAAAAGGAAGGCTAAATACTTACTACTTACATTAAGAAAGTAATGAAAGATCATAAATTCAAAAGGAGCACAGCAACAACACAAAAATCCCTGAACTTTTCCTACCAAATAAGAATCCAAAATAAGCCATTCAGGCATCATCCAGGAAATCAATAAAAGCTTATGGAAATAGATTATAACTACATTTCAGTATTATCTTTTACCACCCCTGGAATTCTTACCTTATGTAAATGACAATGGTTCTGAGATGAATTCAACATTGTGTGTGTGTGTGTGTATTCATACTTATGTATACAGGAAGAAGCAATCACTCATAGGAAATTAAAGACATGAATATAAAAGTGACAAAGATTGAAATAGGGAAAAAAATGAAGAAACCCAGTACTTGATTTTCATGGATAAGCAGCTATTTGATATAATTCTTCAAAGAAACTCCCAACTGCTACCATCCTACAAGAAACTGTGCTCAGTTTATGGAAACTCACAGGAAGCTCTACTTCTTCATCACAGCAGGTAGAATCAATTAAAAGTTATTTTCACTCATTAAAGCTATCACCTACATGAAGTACATCCAGCTATCAAGGTCAATGAAAACTAAAGAAAAAGGACTAATGAATTCTTTGAAATCTAGCCTAGTCTACTTCAGGAATGATTAAGTGATGACATGATGCCCTCTTCACTTCGTGGCAGGGCTTCAAACAGACAGACCTGCCCGTTTCACTGTTAACTTCAATGCTCCCAGTCTGAATCCACAGTGGTCTGTCAGACACTGTAAGGGAGCAGCAGGACTCGTCACTGTCTGATGTAATAGCTGCCATTTGTTGAGACCTATGGTAGAAAAAACCAAGTTAACAAAAATAGAGCAGTCATTTGAGTTCTTTTTCATCTATTTTACAAAAAAAAATAATTTAAAAATAAGACCAAAATTCAGTTGAATTTTCATAATGAATGTATTCTGGATAAACTGCTGGCTTCACAGAATGCGAAGCTTTGATACTACAAGACTTGAGAGCCGAGCAGACACACTAGCCTCGGCCAGGAGGGGGCACACTCCAGCTCAAGTCCAAGCAGCAGCAAAATGCCAGGGGTACATAACTATGCTGCCCTCCAAGAAAACTTAGAAGCAAAAGGGGACTCACATTTAATGTTCCTGACCCCAAAAAAGTAACTGCTAACCCTAGCCTAGGGTTGGGGCAATTCTGATCTTCAACAAGGTCTGCAGTATCCTCCCTCGTATCACATCATTCACAAACTCTGAAGACCTGTTTCCAGAAGACCTTCCATCATCTTAAGCCCCTTTTCCTTCCACAGGGATGACCACCTTGCATACTATTCAGGACCTAACATTTATGAGGTGATAACTGGTTGAAAAATAGCAGTTATGATGAGTTAAACCTCAGCTTTCACAACAGAGACTCCAAATACTAAGCATAATTCCAATGAAGGACTGGTCTTTTAAGCTTTCATTTAACATATTTGCTTGTTTGCTTACCTCCTCTTCCCTAGATTAAGTACAAATAAGAATCAATTCACCTGTCATTTCAGTGTACTCAACTCAAGGGTCACTGATTTAGATAGTTTTAAGATTCTAATCAGAAGCAGTCACATATGATAAAAAGTTTTTTAAAAGGGCTTTCTGACATTGAAAAGGAAAAATCCTGTATATACCTAAGGTTTAAATATAATTATCTCTGAGTTTTAATCTAGATGAAAACGATTTTTAAATGAGGTTTAATAATGAGGTTATTTTGCAAGGGAAAAATTAAATATACTATAACTATGACCCAGTAATCATGTAAGAAAAAGGAATCTGAATGCACTAGAGGACTTCTCTTTGGAAACTGTCCCTAAGTAAAACTTCTGTTAGGTTCCAACAATCATTCTAAAGAATCTGTTTTTTGATTCTAAAGCAGGGAGCTAAGATACATCAAAGAATGATCTATCTCATCTTCTCCTATATATTTCCTCTTTGGCAAGCTCCTGGAATGCTATATAAAATATCAATATGCCAGTCCCCTCCACAGCGCCTGGCTTGTGAGTCTGGTGCTAATATTTAACGTGAGTTTCCCTTCAATGCTTCCAGGGTCTCCATGTTCTCTTTAGAAATTCATCACCATGCAGGAGCTGCGTTAGGAAGAGCCAGGGAGCCTGGCTGTGACGCAGTGAAAGGAGGGATACCCCCCTGGAAGGCACGATTTCCCTGGAAGTTCCTCATTTGGTCCTTTAAGAGAAAGCTGCTGCGAAGGCCCTATTCCTGGGAGGCAGCAGAGATCTAAAGGCACAAATCAGAACAGGGTGTCAACAGTCAATCCCCCTTTTGGAGTGAAAGAAGGAAGTAGAAGAGGTCATGCTCTCAGTGCAAAGTCCAGCATTGAAAACTCAACGATTAAGATTATACACATGTACCTATTAGTTCACTAAACACTCAATATAGATTTTAATACAAGGGGATGCAACACAGAAGAACCGGAAATGAATAAATAGTACCTCATTTTACAAGACATTCTGGTTTTCTAGCCTTAGTGCTCTTTTTCTAACCAGTTATTTTTCTAGTTTTGGACAAACTGCACATAGTTCTTCCCAGCACACCAGGACTCACACCTAGATGCGCCACTCCCTGCAAAATTCCTTGTTAAAATCTAAACTGGGAGAAATCATAGGTTTGTAATCAACAACATCTCAAAAATGAACCATGGGTAAAAATGACTATCCTTTGGAAAATAGGGCCATGAAACATAAATCTTGGCCTTGAAATGTTAAGTATATCCCTCCTGGGAAGGGAAACAGCTTCCTTCTCAATCAAACCAGTAGCCACGCAATTTTTTCAAATTAATATCCACTGCTTACTGCTCACCAAAACATTAAAATAACAAAATGCCAAGGTCCCAAGGGAACACAACATCTGTGCAAATCCACAGTTACTTAAAATCTGACAGGTATAGCTTTGTGGTTCTAACACCTTTGTCATTGTCAAGCTCTGACAGGAGCTTCATGCAAGGAGCTCAGTCTTCTCAGAGCCAGGGGAAGGATTTGGGAGGTACAGGCCATGGGAGGTGGTGATCAGTTGTTAGTACATATCCTATCCATACATAAGTAGATGATCATTTCTAATCACGCCACGCCCTGTGCTTGCCACAGAGTGGAAATGGGAGTTACATACGTGAGTGAAGTATGTTACATGAAGAGTAAAAACATGCTAATGTGAGTTAAATAGGAGTTTTCATCATGGTGTCCTGTGACCTCCAACCTACCTACCCTCCTCAAATGCCAGTTAAAATCAGTGAGTTCATGCTACTTCTAGAAATCTGTGAATAATCATACCGTGATGACTGGAATAATCACACTGATTATTGAAACCTAAATAACATTTTTTCATTTAAAATGAATGTATGTCACAAAAAATAGTTATCAAAAACCATCAGAATGAAATTTCTCTGCCATTTACACAAAGATGGTGTTAATGATAGGAAGTACTTATGTAGGTCTTGTGCCAGGCACTTCTCTAGTGCTTTAAATATCTAAATTCTCACCATTACCTTAAGAAGAGTTACTATTATTCTGCCATTTCACAGATGATGATACTGAGGTAACTTGCCTGACTTGTCAAGTTGTGAATCTATGCTATCAGGCTCAGAAGCTTGTACTTTCGACCACATATCTAAAAAGTGAAAGAGATGATTCTTTGCTCAATAAAAGCCTGCTACCACACGCTACTGATGCAAAACTGATAATGCTCCAGCTTACCTGCATCACTGGCAAATTGTATACTCATAAGGACCCGCTTGTATATCTTACAATCAGCTGGATGACACTCCCATATTTCTACAAAAACACTCTCCTCAGGCAACCAAAAACTTCTAATATATTTTACCTGTGGGGAAAAACTATACTCCTAGGGTTTTCAACAGCTTTTAAGTGAATCTCTGGGCTGAAAGAACTGAGCAGGATGCACTGAGTGTAACAAAACTATGTTAAATAGTTTTTTTAAAAAAAGGAAAAGACACTCTTGCTAAAACTTGCTATGAATTATTATAAAGACAAGGTTTTTAATTTTCAAAAAAAAGGCGGGGAGGTGGTGTGTGATCATAAAAACCTAACACTTCAGCTAAGGAGTACTTGTTTTTGCTTCTTGATACCGACACCAGTACAGAATGACCATGAGTTTTAATCGTGGTTTCTGATTAAGAGTCAGATTTCTAAGCAACATAAAGTGGCAACTGTCACATTCTATAAGGAAAAGCTCTATATTTAAATGACAATTGTTTTCAATTTATTTAAGAGACCTTACCAAATAATTGGGAATTTGAAGAAAAATATTTAATTCATGTTTAAACTAAGTTTTAAGAATGGCCTGTTTTCAACATCAAAGCTTTATGAAATTGTTTTACAAAGAAAAGGTGAACTCCAATAGCAAGACTGTGGAACCAACCTAGATGCCCTTCAATAGACAAATGGATAAAAAAAAATGTGGCATTTATACACAATGGAGTATTACTCTGCATTAAAAAATGACAAAATCATAGAATTTACAGGGAAATGGATGGCATTAGAGCAGATTATGCTAAGTGAAGCTAGCCAATCCCTAAAAAACAAATGCCAAATGTCTTCTTTGATATAAGGAGAGTAACTAAGAACAGAGTAGGGACGAAGAGCATGAGAAGAAGATTAACATTAAACAGGGACGAGAGGTGGGAGGGAAAGGGAGAGAGAAGGGAAATTGCATGGAAACGGAAGGAGACCCTCAGGGTTATACAAAATTACATACAAGAGGAAGTGAGGGGAAAGGGAAAAAAAATACAAGGGGGAGAAATGAATGACAGTAGAGGGGGTAGAGAGAGAAGAGGGGAGGGGAGGGGAGGGGAGGGGGGATAGTAGAGAATAGGAAAGGCAGCAGAATACAACAGACACTAGTATGGCAATATGTACATCAATGGTTGTGTAACTGATGTGATTCTGCAATCTGTATACGGGGTAAAAATGGGAGTTCATAACCGACTTGAATCAAAGTGTGAAATATGATATATCAAGAACTATGTAAGGTTTTGAACAACCAACAATAAAAATTTAAAAAAAGAAAAAAAAAGAAAAGGTGAACTCAATAAAAGAAGGCCCACTAAGTCAGACAACATCCATTATAGCCACCTATGTTTTTCAATTGAAAAATGAAACTGACTCAGAAATTCAGTATTTGATGATTGACTTTTGAGTTTACAATATCTCATCTTTACCCCTCCTCACAGAATAATGCTGAAATCTATATGAAAAAATTAAGGTTCAGCAATTAGATATTTCAGGGATTAAAAAAAAAAAAAAAAAATCACTGAAATTTGACTCAGTCCATCCCAAGCTGGATTTCAATATAAAAATTAATTCAGTATCTCCTATGAAATTGTGGTACAAAAGATGATCACAGAACTTTATTAAAGTTAAACATTATGTATGGCAAGGCATTATTTGTTTTCTATTAACTACTCACATACAAAGGGGGAAGTGAATAAATTAAAGAAAGCAGTATATGAATAATGAATATGACAAAAGTATGATGGGCTAGTAATCTAATTTAATTACTAATAACTTATTTCCACATTCATAAAAATTGTCCAATAATTGTCCTTATTACTGGAAGGGGACCGTTTTAATTAAAACCTACTCCTGATAGGTAGATGCAATCACATTTATTCACCTAGAAATTCTACCAAGATGTAGTTTTGAAAGTGGGGCACCATTAGCACTTGGGGCAACATTTCCTTGCACAGGGCTACAAGTGGACCAGGAATGAATCCTGGAAGGCTGGCACTACCAGTAGCTTAATCCAATTACAGCGCTGACCTCCCCAGAAAACGGGTGAGTCCTATGACTTAATTTCCAATACCCTCTAGAACAATATTACTGCAAATTTAAAGATTCTATCAAAAGCCAGGTGTGTGATCCCAGCTACTTGGGAGGATGAAGCAGAAGGATCATTAAGTTCAAGGCCAGCCTGGGGAACAGAAAAACCCTGTCACAAAATTAAAAAATAAAAAGGGCTAAGGATGTTGCTCAGTTGTAAAGTCCCCAGGGTTCAATTTCCAGTACAAAAAAAAAAAAAAAATTACTGATGGACAGTTGTGATGGTTGCACAACAATGTGAATATATATCATACCATAAAACTGTACAAAGAAAATTGATTTTAAGTTGGTAAATTTAGAGTCAGGCATGGTGACGTATGCCTGTAATCCCAGCTGCTCAGGAGGCTGAGGCAGGAGGATCCCGAGTTCAAAGCCAGCCTCAGCAAAAAGGGAGACACGAAGCAACTCAGTTAGACCCTGACTGTAAATAAAATACAAAACAGGGTTGGGGATGGCTCAGTGGTTGAGTGCTCCTGAGTTCAATGGTAAATTTTACATTATGCCTATTTAAGCACAATTTTTTAAATACCAAAAAACTGCAATGCTTTATTAAAACACTATTTCGACTTGATCCAACAAGGAAAATCTGTTTGGATCTATATAAATGTTAAGTCTTGGCTGGGAGAATAAGCTCAGGGTAAGAACCCGGGTTCCATACCTATAACTGCAAAAAGTAAAATGATAAAATATTGTTTTTTACTTGAGTGAAGATCAAACAAAGAGTCATTTCAATCTTAGTGTCAGTTATCCATGGTATAAAGATACCTTACAAAACTAAAATATAAATCATCTATATCACTATAACTTTAAACTTCCTATTTCTTATTCAGAATAACAACAGAAATGCAAACTGCAAATGCTTCCACTTTTCAATTCAATGCAAGCTTGAAGAAGGAACACAATTAAGTGTACACAAAAGCAGAATATGAAGAGCCTCATTACTTAGATCAGGTAAGATCAATACAGCTTAGCTGTTTACCTTCTCCTGGCAGTTGGATGGCCCCACCTAATTCTGAGTTCCTGTATTAGGCATTTCTAATAGATATTGTCTTAACAGGTATAATTAGTACAGTCCCAAAGCAAAACCTGATTTCCCCTGACTTAGAAAATGGGTCTTCGTTCAGTCAAATTCCCTATTGGGGGCCATCACTGGACATAAATCCTTGAGTTAAAATATTATTGACTTCTCTAGAAATTTGCTAGTCTGCTAAAAGTAATAACAAATGGAACCAATGCATCACAAACCATAGAACATTCACAACTTAAAATAGAAAAACTTAATTTTAAATCCAAATTACAGATTTTTTATTTGCAATTCCCTATTCAGTTATTCAGTAAAAAGGCAAACTGGCCACCTTGCAATCTTTTAAATATCTATGTTCCTTTCAACATAATTAATTTCAGGAAGGTACAGCCTCTCTATATAGAGGTGAAATTCAGTTTCTCTTTCTTTTTTCTTGCAGTACTAGGGACTGAATCCAGAACCTTTTTTCGTATGCTATATAAGTGATCTACCAATGGGCTACATCTCTAGCCCTTTTCACAATAGGGTCTCACTAAAGTGCCTAGGATGGCCTCAAAACTTGCAATTCTCCTGCTTCACCCTTCCAAGTAGCTGGGATAATAAGCACATACCATGACACTCAGCTGAAATTCAATTTAATAGTTTGTAATTTAGAAGCCCAAACCCACAAATGAAGATATGTAATATGGTTGATTTTAATATGGTTCCATGTTCTTTGCCTACAGTAAGTATCATCTCTAAATTCCTATCTATTCATATACTTAGTACTGAGCTACAATTACTATCTACTTAGAAATTTTTCCCATCAAAGTCACTTAAGGACATACAGACTAGTGAATCCTAGTTTCCCCATCTTTTACATTTCTGGTTCCACATCTGTAAATGAGAGTTGAGCAGATGTCCCTTCAAAATTACCAAGAAGCTTTCTGGTCTATAAGTTTCAGGAAAAAAAGGGGGGAAAAATCTGATGCTTTCAATTTTTGATGATTTTTGAGTTTTCAAAGATCTGATTTCACTGTGTTTCTCCCCTTGCTTATCCTTTGTTTTGGCCACTTCTCTTAGACCACTAGAAACTTGATGTAACCCTACTTTTTCTCTATTTAAAGGGAAAAAATATCCAGTTGGATTATCTCCATTAAAAAAGCACCTTTAGCACTTCTAACAGAAATGCAAAAATGGCTATAATTATCCAATTCAACTCTACCTCTATCTGCAGTAGATACTGGTTGGATTCATCTAAGACATTTCTATTTGAATACAACACTTTAATAATCAGCTATTGGATTATTAGTGTTTAGAATATATATTTTAAGATTACAGGAATTCTCTAAAACTTGTCCCTCCCTACTGAGAGGTATAGTGAAACACACCAGACTGTAAATTTAAATCGAGGGATTATTTGACATAACTAAATCATGTACATTTGTTATTATGCCTCAACCTTTTCCTCAATAGTATAAACTACAAAAGTGAATGTTAGTTTTGTACTCTACAATCATGAGTTTTTTCTTTTTCCCCATGGCTTCTGAAACAAACCAAATATGGTTTAAGCCACAAAAGCATATTTGTCAAAGTACCTGACTGTATTAGCAATATCCACTTTCAAAATCACTATTCTGATAAAACCCAGTTCATTACAAAGCCTTAAGATAACATACTTTAAGTGACTTTTGTTTAAATTTGTCTTTATATTCAAACGTTTAAAAATACCTGAATGAAAAAGTTCAATAATCTGAAAGATACTCAAAAAATATTTAAAGATAATTTTTATAACCTCTCCAACACTGTGAACTTCCTTCAACCTGTTATAATAAAAAAATTCTATAGTAGTTGTTTCTGTTTGCAGGAAAGAATATGCTTTTAAAGTGAAATCTTTTTTTTTTAATTGTGTGTTTATTAGAATCAAAAAGCATTGACTAAAATTCCCCAGAAGAAATTCTACTTGCTTTTGCAGAAATTGGTACTTAATCAAAGAAGTTCATGACCTTAAGGAAGCTGACAGGAGACTATAGATCTCCAATCTCTATTAATCATTATTAATTTCATAGTAACTAACACATTTCAAAACTGGATTATTTAGAAATACATGAAAAATTGCCCTTCAAAGGTTCAAGTTTCCAAAAGTGTTGAATTGACACATTTCAAACTGGATTATTTAGAAATACATGAAAAATTGCCCTTTTAAAGGTTCAAGTATCTAAAAGTGTTGAATTGAAATTATATCACACTTAAAATTTATACGCAACTCTTATAAGCAACTTTTAAAATGTTGGGATAAACTTGCCTTCACAGGCAATCAGATATATATTTTCACTAACAGTACAAAGCTAAAACTGCAAAATAAGAGATCAAATCTCAGGGACAGATAGAACATTTAGAAAAATAGCAAGCTAAGTAAGTTACCAGCAAAAAGCAGTGGCACCTGAGGCAGAAGATCAAACAGAAAAGAGACTGGTTCTAATCCCCAAATGAGACTGGTTCTAATTCCTTAGAAACTAACCATGTAGTGAAATATTACGGCTAAAAAGGAAAATATTAAAACCTATACATTTGAGAACTTGGTGGGAGGGGAGTATCAAATCTAGAAGCACATCAGACCTCCAGACTATAAAACCTCACATTAAGAGTGTACTGGATTGATCTCTTATCTGAATTTCACCTATTCTCAGATAGTGTATTCCCTGATAGGGCAAACCATCTTGAAATATTTCAAAGCTTTTTGAGAAACACACACAAATAATTTGGATTTAGTCGATTTTATTTACAGATTTTTTTGGTTTTGTTTTCTTGTTTGTATTTTTTTTTTTTTTACATTTCAGAGCATTACACAATTACATTTTCTCATTTTCTGACCTGCAAACAGATACCTTAAATGGAAATTTTTTTTAATTATCAAATTAGGTACATCCAAAATGCAACAATTACACATTTGACAATTAATTCACAAAGTGTAATTTACTGGGACGTATCCTAAGAATTTAGGAACAGCCAGTCAGGAGAAATCTGACCAAATTTCGCAATCAACTATTTACATATCCAAAACCAAACCTATCTAAGCTCCCAAACCAGAAGCTTGAAAGTCTGTTATATCCCCACTGCACAAAGGAGAACAATGACTCAAACCTGTCCAGTCTTGACAGTTTTAATCCCAAATACTGGGCTATTTCCCCAGCATGTCACTGAATAGCAAGCATTCAGTTTGTCAAAGCAAGCATCTCAGTTTGTCAAACACCCAAATATCAAAACTTTTATACCATTATGAGCATAGAAAGACTAATTTTCTTTAGTTTAAAAAAAAAAAAAAAAGTAGTCATTAAATATCCACAATGTGCCCCCAGGTCACCAGCCCTTACTAAATCCCAAATACGCAACCTATGTCACATAGTGACAGGCAATGTTATATATATGTGAAGATATATATACAGTGATAGTACAAATAGCAATTAACAGTCCCTGAAAAAATTCAGTTTCAGTTGAGGCTATGGCTTCTATGCCTTGGGATGTTTTTAGATTTCAAAATTGGAAAATACTGCTAAAATCTCACTTCCTGAAGACAAAATTTGATTGCATGTTCAGTTTAAGCTTCTCAGTCTAAAAATGGCTATAAGGTAAGTATAAAAAGTCAGCCAACTGAGTGCAATTTTTCTCTCCAATTTGGCCAAGCTATTTTGTAGAAATTATTCCTAGACTAGAAAATCTGTGGTGCCTTCCAAGGGTTCTTGCCTACCTTACTGTCCATGTTCACGTTTCAAACTGTGTCAACAGAGCCCGCACTTCAGGGGTCAGCTGCTTGGCAGCCTTAGCCGCCTCTGTGATAGCCTTGCGATACAGGCCCTTTCTCTTCTTATTAAAGCGTGACTGGAAGTTTTCTAAAAAGGGGGAGAGTTGCGAAAGAGCAAGGAAAGATGTTGTTGGAGACCCAAACCACGAAATACGGGCCTCCTGTCGGACTAAAAGGCCGTTATCTTTCCGGCTCACAGTTATAGTAAGAATACGGGCTGGCCACCAAGGGAAGCCATATATCTTGGCCCAAACAATGTCCCCTACACATATGGTCCTGCCATCTGGTGTGACGCATTTAGAGACGTTTTTGGAAAAGATTTTCATTTTCAAGGAATTACTGAGCTTTTTCTCTTCCTTTGAAGAGGAGGAAGTGGAGGAGGTGGAAGGTACATGCATACTGCCTGGAGGAAAATCAAAGCTTTCAGAAGAGCTACACTCAGAGTTGGAGGATTTCAAATCATCTGTGCTATCAATGCTACATACTGAAGCACTGGAAGAGTCAGATTTCTTGTGATTTAGGGTCATGTAAACAGAGATATTGCTTTTGCTGCCCTTTTTGCCCAGTGTCTGTGGTTCATCCTGCTCACCAGGTACAGGCACTTCACTTGTGTCCTGAACCCCACTGCTGGCCTCTTCAGGGCCTTTTGAGGGACTCTGATTTTCTGAAGGGGCCTCACCTGCTGAGCGGGTGGAGGTGCAGCGAGACTGGGGCTTGGGTGCCATCTTGCCACTCCGCATTTTCTCGAGTCCTGTCTTCAAAGAAGAGTCATTTTCTTCATTCCTGTACCTCTGTGGTTTTAAACGAACCCGGGGTGGAAGGGAACCTGAGCTAGGATTCTGGTATCGACGAGTGAAATGGACTTTTGAATGTGTATTTTTGGAAGTAGAGGTTTCACTTTGCTTCTTTTGTGCCTTTTCTTTGGCAATTTTCAATACTTCCCGAGCTTTTGCATGATCCATGTTCTTACTCTGGAGCACTTTTTTAGTACTTAACTGAGCTTTTGACGTATTTGCCTGAGCAGAAACTTTGACTACTCTGCCTCTGCTGTGAGCAATATTTGAAACCTTAACCACAGCATTTCTTCTCTGGCTTTCATTTTGGTTTTTCCCATCCACTTTATGGTCAGTTTTCAGTTTTTTGTTCACAGTAGCTACACTTTCATTTCTCCGTTTTTTATCTTCATATTTAGAAGAGTCACTTGCACTACTACCTTTTCTAATTTCCTTTTTTTCAGCAACAACACTGTTTTTACACTTATCGCAGAGGACTTGTCTGGGTCGTAGTTTAATAGCATTCATTATTGAAGTGGGTTCTTCCCGGTACATTTTTCGTTTGGGTCGCTTAATTTTCCGAGGAGGAGGCTGAGGTATTGATTGGTTATATGTGTCCCTGATAAACAAAGGGGGAGGATAAGGTGCTCCTTCATGGAAGAGAGGTGGTGGTTTGGAAGTCCACAGGCTTTCAGCCAAACTCAGCTCAGGAGGTGGGACAGAAGGATCGTTGGGAACAGCACCATTCACTTCACCCTTGACTTCTGTCCCTTCTTGGAATGTATTACTTTGGAGCTGCCTGGCTTCCGGTTTATCCTTATATTCCCTTTTAGGAAATACTGTCACAGGGATCCCATGGGGCCCAAACCTTTGAAAGAAAAGAAAGAAAGAAAGAATCCAGTAAGTTGACATTTATAATTTAATGCTTAAATGTAAACAGCTTTCATGTTTATTTATGACTATTCCTTATAACTATTTCATATTTAAATAAAACAAAACAAAAATCTACTGACTACCCCCTTCCACCCTCCAATTCTGCTTTTTTGGGTACCGGGGATTAAACTCAGGGGTACCTGACCACTGAGCCACGTCCTCGGCCCTATTTTGTACTTTATTTAGAGACAGGGTCTCACGGAGTTGCTCAGCACCTCACTTTTGCTAAGGCTGGTTTTGAACCCGAGATCCTCCTGACTCAGCCTCCCAATCCACTGGGATTACAGGCATGCGCCACCACACCCAGAAAAAACCTCCATTTCTTTGGTCCTACATTTTAGGTATAAACAGAAATACTCCAAATGATTGCCCTAAGCGACAATAGAATAGCTGACTTCACTTAAAATGGACCTTTCCAGTGTTGAATTAAAAAGGATGTACTATCAAACAACCTGATATCCAATGTCATGTGTTATATTCACTGAACTACATACAACATCTTCAAATACTTACAAATAGGACTTTGTAACATAAATATATATCTTCCTCTGGCTAACAGTTTTTTTCAAAAGATTTACAAAGTAAATCCATTCTTAACTACTCAAAAATACTAAAAAAGTAAAATCTAGTTTCACCTTTATTGGTGAATCATTAAAGGGTCAAAAAACAAAAAAGTTGCTCCTTTATTCTTATCTCCTAACTCTTTTAAGCCTACAATTCCAACCTCCCAAACACAAAACTACCAAGAACTCAAATACTCAAAGGAATTTCAAAGCAGACAGGTACACAACTTGTGGCTTTCAAGCTTTTTTAAAATCATATACTTACTCCATCAGCAGATATTTTCAGATTGTAACCCAATATAGAAATTATTTACACATGCATACATGTGTACATTGTATACATACATAAATATACACACTTAAGTAAAAGTTTCAGCAAATACTGAACCTTATGTGATACACAATGTTTGCTTTATTCTTTTTTTCTACTCTTGTCTATTTCATTTGTATTAATACTAGTTAATCCAGACCCTTTATTTTTATTTTTGTTTAGCTGTAGATGAACAATACCTTTATGTATTCATTTTTATGGGGTGCTAAGGATCAAACCCAGAGCCTCACACATGCTAGCCAAGCGCTCTAACACCGAGCTACAACCCCAACCCCTAGACACTCAATTTTCAAAGCAGTGGTCCAGAATACAAAATCTTCACAATTATCAGCCTCAAATAAACTGGAGTCAATAAATTTCCTTCTCACGTAGACCTAGAAATAACTGTGGTTTAATTTGACTGGGCTCAATTATCAAGAACCTGACCTTTAAACTGGCCATACTCAGTTGCCTTCTCATAAAATTTAAATCACACTACCAAAAATTTTAGCATATATATAAACATGTTAATTTTAAGCACTGACTGAATCAAACAGTACCTAATAATATGATTCTAATGCCAGTCCTATAAGGCAACAGTTCTTAGACTGGCTTCAGGTAGTGAGTGAGGCAGAATCCCTCCAATTAGATGCAAATGTTATATATGTCTGTTTTTTTTTTTTGAAGTCTGGCACTCAGAGTCTTAAAAATATGTTCTCATGCTCCCAAAAAGGTTCAGAATTCCTTTGTTGAAAACAAATTCATGAAACTGAGTAACACAACTAGGGCAGGGATTTAAACAGAGCCAACACAGAGCAGGTATCAATTTTAATATTTTTCTTCTTAAAAGTCTTTAGAAGAGTCTTGGCTACCTCAAACCAACAAATTAACAGCAAATACTTACAAACCATAAAAAAAAAAAAAAAGAAAGAAATAAAAGAAAAGCATTTTTTTCACCTACAGTATTACAAGTGTGGGTCTGGGCTAGTTCAAAATGGAAAGACACTCTCCTCAACTGTATTTGACTTTGTAGAAAGTTGCTTTTTAATCTAGCATAGCATCTGATAACTGCTTGCTTCCTGACTCATTGATTGAGCATTTAGCCTTTTCTACATACAGATGTTCTTACATATTTTTTTAAAATGACAATATAGATACAGGTATGCTGGGCAAACCTGTAATCCCGGGGACTCAGGAGGCTGAAGCAGGAAGAATGAAAGTTCAAAGCCAGCCTGGACAACTTAGCAAGACCCTATTTCAAAATTAAAAATATAGAAAAAGTGGGGATGTAGCTCAGTGGTATTAGTACCTCTTGGTTCAATTCCCAGTACCCTCCCCCCCCCAAAAAAATGGGTTCAAGGTCAATAAACATTAGCCACTTTTCTTAGCCAAAATTAATTTTATATTATTTTTATAACAGTGGAGTTTAGGAATCTCCTCACATGCCCCTCCACCCATTCATATTGAGGATTAAACCCAGGGCACTATACCACTGAGATTTACCCCCAGTACTATTTTAAATTAATTTATTTATTTAGTTAATTGTGAGTCACAGTTTCATGTTGCCCAGGCTGGCGTCAAGATTCGGATCTTTCTGCCTTGGTCTCTCTAGCAGGATTACAAGTATATGCCACTGCTTTCAGCCCCCTCCTCCTATCTTGAATTTATATTCCTCATGTCGGGGCTGAAGGTGAAGCTTAGTGGTAGAGTTCTTGCCTAGCATGCACAAGGCCCTGGGACTGATCCCCAGCACTACAAAAAAATAAGTAAAAATATGTAAAGAAATATATACATACTCTCAACGTGAGCACGACCCCAGCTAATTACTTTAAAGCTGGTTATATCAAGAAAGCTGTGAGCTGAACGTGGTTATGCACACCTATAATCCCAACAACCCAGGAGGCTGATGCAGGAAGATCACAAATTCAAAGTCAGCCTCAGCAACTTAGCAAGTTCTAACCAACTTAGTGGGAGCCTGTCTCAAAATAAAAAATAAAAAAGAGCTCAGTGGTTAAGCACCCCTAGGTTAAATCCCAGGTACAAAAAAAAAAAAAAAAAAAATGCTGTGGAATCTTGATTTATTTATCCTGTGGAATTCAATGAGAACATTAATAGTTCTCACCTGGATTGGTTTTCTCTTTGCCTTTCCCCCATAAGCATATAAACTACTCAAACATGAAGTGTTTTCTGTTTGGTTTTGTATGCCATGCTAGAGATCGAACCCAGGTGTTCACACATAAGCATTGTATCACTGAGCTACACCCTTAGCCCTCAAAGTGTTTCTAATAACAGAGGACGCACTTAATTACGTAATGATGAATGGAAATTAGAGGCTACTAAAATGAAAAAAAGAAAAAGGACCCAAACTGGTAACTCAGAATAGTGAATGACTAGCAAAGCAGAAAAATATTTTTAAATAATAATAAAAGGTCCCCCCCAAAAAAAAAAAAAAAAAAAAAAAAAACAAAGGGAAAAGGTAGAATCACACATCATCTTTCCGTCTCAGTAATCATGAGTAATTGTGCCACCAACCTTACACGGACATCACTTAACTATCAAACTGAGGATAGAGACATTGGCTGTGATATCAATTCAGGGTCATGCTATGATAAAAATAAAGCCAGCATTTAAGAACAGCAAGAGTACATGTCCACAACTGCAGGGAATATTTTCGTGTGTGTGTGTGTGTGTGTGTGTGTGTGTGTGTGTGTAAGAATCTAGACGTCACTATGTCACTATGCTCCAAAGTTTGAAAGTCAGAGGGCACAGTGGCTCATGCCTATAATCCCAGCTACTCTGGAGACCGAGGCAAGAGAAAGTTTGAGGCCAGCCTGAACAACTTGTCTCAAAAATAAAAATGAAATGGAAAAGGCTGGGGCTGAAGCTCAGTGATAGAATATTTGCCAAGCATACATGAGGCCCTGGATTCAATGTGGGCTACTGTACACAAAGTTTAAAAGCCACTAACCTACAAATGTAAATTAGCAACAATACTTGTCTCTTTAAAATTCTAAATACTAACTTCTCAAGGACAGTCAGTGAAAATCTTCATCACAACACCCAGGAATATTTGAAAACGGAGACTCCTAAGCTGAAACATAAGACTCTCCTACAATGAACCCAAGATCTAAATTTTTAGCAAGTACCTTGCTTTAGAGCTCTTTCTAAGGTAGAGACATCTACGTCCCATGTCAATGTTTTCCATGTCAATGTTTACTGAGCAAATGGAGAGCTGAAAGGCTGAATGGTGTCCCTTGCTTGGGCTTTTTTTTCCCCTGTGGTACTGGGTTTGAACCCAGAGGCACTTGACCACTGAGCTACATTCCCTAGCCCTTTATTTTAATTTTTTTTAATTTTACAGTATGGGGATGAACCCAGGTCCTCACACATGATAGGCAATTGCTCCACACTGAGCTACTACATCCTCAGTCCATTTTATTTTGAGACAGGGTCTCACTAAATTGCTCAAGCTGGCCTTCAACTTATGATCCTCCTGCTTCAGCCTACCAAGTAGCTGGGATTTTAGGTGTGTGCTACCACCTTTAACCTGCTTAAGCTTTTCCTAAAAGAACTTCTTAAGAACTGACACCAAGTGTGTCACTTTCCTTCCCTACTCCATTGTGCAGCACACTAATGTTTTAGTGACTTATTCTATCCCTTACCCATTTTCAGTCTTTTTTAAGTACTACCCCAAAATTCTGGGCCAGGGGTAAAGATCAGTGGTAAGGCATGCACTTAGCACATACAAGCTCCTGGGTTCACTGAATCCCCAGAACCAAAACCAAAAAAATTCTAGCTGGTAATCCCAGCTTCTGTGGGGCAGGGCTTCAGTAGGGAGGATTGAAAGTTCAAGAGCAGCCTGGCAACTTAGCAAGAACTTGTCTCAAAATTTTAAAAAGGGCTGGGGATGCACTCAGTGACAGAGCATTTGCATAATGTGAGTAAGGCCCTGGGTTTAATCCCAGGCACTGTAAAAATATTAAAATGACTTGTGGGGAAAACTAGGTGAAGGTGCAAGAGACCTCTCTACCCTATCTTCACAACTTCTTTGAATCTATAATTGTTTTTAAATAAAGTTGTTTTGTTTTTCTTTTTGATTTTGTTTTTGGCTACTTGGAATCTAACCAGAGATTGCTTTACCACTAAGCTGCATGCCCATCCCCAACCATTTTTATTTTTTATTTTGAGACAGAGTCTCACAAAGTTGCTGAGGCTAGTCTAGAACTTACAATCCTCCAATCTCAGCCTTCCAAATCATTGGGATCACAGGTGTGGGCCCTGGTTTCAATCCCCAGTAAAACAAAAAGAAAAGCAAAAAAGGACTGGGGGCATAGCTCAGAGATAGTGCATTTGCCAATGAGTACAAAGGTCTACCAACCACTGTGGTCTGTGCTGTAGTCCCAGCTGCTCAGGAGACTTAAGGCAGGAGAACTGCTCAAGCCCAGGAGGTTAATACCATCTTGAGTAACAAAGTAAGACTCCACCCTACAAAATTTTTTTAAAAATAGTTACCTTCCAAATAAATTAAGAGTGATGAGTGCCAAAATTTTGAGGGAAGAGAATCCTGGGGTTTAATAATTACTCTGTGTGAGGGCAAGAGATATCACTATAAAAAAAAAAAAGTATTTTCAGAGCTAGGCATAGTGGCACATGGCCTGTAATACCACTGACAGGAGGCTGGCAAATTCAAGGCCAGCCTTAGCAAATTAGCAAGGCGAGCAATTTAAGCAATTTAGCAAGGCCCTGTCTCAAAAAATAAAAAAGGGCTAGGAATGTGGCTTACTGGTTAAGCACCCCAAAGATTTAATACCAGGTACCAAAAAAAGGAAAGGAATCTTAAATCTCATCTTGAATCTCGGCTGTGACAAGTACAGTGACACATGTCTATAATTCCAGCAACTTGGGAGGATCGAAATTCTGAGGCCCCCTGTCTCAAAACAACAAATAAACAAGGGCTAGAGATGTAGCTCAGTGGTAAATCACCCCTGGGTTCAATACTTAGCTAAAAAAAAAAAAATATATATATATATATATATAAAGATTCTTAGATGTGGTGGGTGGCACTCGCCTATAATCCCAGCAACTGGGAAACTGTGGCAATAGTATCAGAAGTTAGAGGCCAGCCTGGGCAACTTGGGGAGACTCTTAACATAAAATATAAAAAGGACTCAGATCTCAGTGGTAAATTGCCTCTGGGTTCAATCCTCAGTACAAAAAAAAAAAAAGAAAAAAAAAAAACTCAGCCTAATGCAATGATAAAACCGAAGATGTAAATGTAGAGGATTTAGGTCAAATCCAAAAATGTGACTATTATAGGAAATATGAAAATATTTTCTAGTATTTGTATTCCATTTAAGATGTCTGAATTTTGTGATTATTTTAGCCTTGACCAAAGAATCAGTCCTTATTCTCCTACTAACAAGCTTTATATAAGTTGTATTTGCTCAAGATTTCTAGGACTACCAATCAATCTTCTTTTTTTTTTTGAGTTGTTGATGGATTTTTATTTTATTTATTTGTATGTGGTGCTGAGAATCAAACCCAGTGCGTCGCGCATGCTAGGCAAGCGCGCTACCACTGAGCCACAACCCCAGCCCTAGCAATCAATCTTATACTTAAATATGTGTGTGGCTTCTTGGGGTAAACTCATAACCATTACCCAAATTTCCTTTTCAAAAGAGTACTTAAAACATAACTAAAATGTTTACCAAAAACTACCCATTTTAGTCAGACATATTTATAATTCTTACCTCTTATTTTGAAAGTTTTTTTGTTTTTGTTTTTGTTTTTTTTAATGCTGATCAGGGTTCATCAGCATGAACTTCACAGCAAACTCAATCAACTCATCTCTGACCTAGGATTATATTCTTTTCCTTCCTGTTTACAACAGTTTAAGAATGCACAACTGATTCTCATTTTCTTCCCTCCAATTCTTTTTGCCAAACTGCAACTGTAAAAGGGGATCTTTTTAATATATTTCACACTAAAAATAAAGAAATACAAAAGCAAAGGTATTACAAACTTTAAGCAAGCAAAGAGAAATTCCAAGGAATTAAAGGCTCAGGAAAAAATTCAGGAGGGTTAGTTGTGATAGGCCCTAGTACTCTGGCTAGACGAGACCTCCCTCCCAGAAGATTAGCAGGAGACAAAATGAAATCCTTTCTGCTATAGGAAAAAACTGTATGCAACTAACCACTTAAAAAATAATATGCAGATGTATTTCAAGCAGATGCTTTTATAAACTACCTATCCTTACATTTAGCAATAGGTTAAATCATTAAAAAGGGAAAACTATGAAGTAAGCTTACTTTGATTCATATTTCATGTCTTTGTGATGACAAATTATTATGTCAAAACTTAATCCAGAAAAAATGAAATTAATATTCAGCTAAATGCAATATAAAATCTTACCAAAATGCACACCTATTCCTTCAGAAATAAAAAACACAACTGCTATATAATCCAGCAATCCCATTTCTGGCTATATGTATCTATAACAATTGAAAGGAAGATCTCTAAGAAATACTTACACATCCATTGTCATAGCAGCATTATTCACAATAGCCAAAAGCAGAAGCAACCCAAGTGTCCACTAGCAAATGAAGAGACAAAATGTGAAATATGTACATATATATATGTATCATGCATATATACACACATAAGAATATGTATACACACACATATAGTGTGCTATTTTCATCCTCAAAAAGGAAAGTTAAAAAAGGAAATGTCACATGCTACAAAAATGGACAAGCCCTGAGGCCACTGTGCTCATATTAATCCACTTAGGTGACATGTGAAGTATGTCCCATACCACATTGTTTTCCAATTTCAGTAACTCACAGAATAATTTTTTACTATAGTGAAGTCTCTTTATTGTATCTAATTTTAAATTAAACTTTATTATGTGTTGATTTTAATTTTAACCCTAAATAACCTTTCATTTCTAGAGAAAATGAGGAAATAAACAAGGTGAACTACATATACAAGCATTTCATAGATTTGAAAATATATGACTTTACCATTTCATAGTTTCTATATGCCTGTTCTTCATGATCCAATTTTCTCAATGTGGCAGAAAGAAGAGGGTTATTAACAGGTCCTAAAAGCTTTGGTCTCCATTAAAAATAAGAGGCCAGTTATATGTAGACTTGAACCTACGTCCATTAAAAGCATTTTATCTTGGGGCTGGGGTTGTGGCTCAGTGGTAGAGTGCTTGCCTAGCACATGTGAGGCACTGCGTTCGATTCTCAGCACCACATATAAATAAATAAAATGAAGGTCAACAACTACAAAATATTTTTTTAAGTATTTTATCTTTTGTGTAGGTGAAACAGATACTTAATGAATATCTAGAAGTCAAGTTGCTTCTACTTTTGGCTATCATGAATAATGCTATGACTATGGATGTGCAAATAACTCTAAAGCAACAAGTTGCCAAGATTTTGGAAACCATTTTGAGGCAGCTATATAGTAAAATACAAAATTGGTACTGAAATGTTTGTGAGAATGACCTAATTTAATTAGAGGAGCTTAAGTGTGTAGCTCAGTGATAAGAACATATTCATAGCATATGTGAGGCCCTAAGTTCAATCCCCAGCACCATCCAAAACAAATAAAAAACAGTACTTTAAGAATCCCACACCCAGCCAGTTCCACCAACTTTTAAGCAAAGAAAATCTATAAAAAAAAATTTTCTTCTACTTAAGTATAAATGCCCAGAAATTCATCTCATGGACCACTAATCACATATATACTCAAAAACCAGTATGCTGGGACTGGAGTTGTAGTTCAGTGGTAGAGAGCTTGCCTAGCATGTATGAGGCCTTGGGTTGAATTCCCCGCACTGCAAAATAAATTAACAAAATATGTGAATTGGTCTGATAGTATAAAACAGTCCTAGACCTAGGATCCAGCTTTATAATAGGTGAAACCAGAGGCAGTAAGTCATTGTCAAATTAAGTTACAAACCAGAGGGAAAGAAATCACTCTGCATTGATGATTAGAAAATGGATTTAACAGGCAAAAGGACCTAGAAGAGCCCAAGCAGATTAAGACATCCTGGGCATAGTGGCACATGGGTGTAATCCCAGCAAGGAAGCTAAAGCAAGAGGATCAAAAATTCAAGGCCAGCCTCAGCAACTTGGTGAAGTCCTAAGAAACTTAGTGAGATCCTGTCTCAAAATAAAACAACAAAAGAGTTAGGGATATTGCTCAATGGTTAAGCACCCCCTGAGTTAAATGCCCCCCCAACCAAAAAAAAAAGGAAAACAAGGAATGGTAAATGGTGGTCTGTTTACCCTTTTTTTAAGGCTGTTAAGGATTCAGAGGCATAAAAAAGCAATTAAGGGAATCCTCCTGGAGGGAAAGGATGTTGGTTAGAGTATGTGTCTCTAGGAGGGGGGCTAGGTGTGTGGTTGACTGAGAATAATAACAAGTCTCTTGCCATGCACAGTGGGTTCTGCCTGTAATCTCAGCAACTTAGGAGGCTGAGGCAGGAGGATCACAAGTTATAGCCCAGCCTCAGCAATTCAGTAGGGCCCTAAACAACTTGACAAGACTGTCTCAAAAAAAAATAAGATAAAGGGCTAGGTAAGTAGCTCAGTAGTTAAAGCACCCTTAGGTTCAATACCCAGTACCCAAAATTAAAATCACTAGTCCCTTAAAAAGATGAAGCCACTGAAGGCTTCTGACTATTCTATAGTAATATGACCATAAGCGTCTATTTCACTTTGTTAAAAACCTTAAACTCATCTACACTAGTCTGATCCTATCGTTTACTGAGTACAAAGTGCTCAAAACTATCTTGCTTTCCCTCACTTTGAAATAGATCCTTCTCAAAGGTGACCCTTTTACAATTAGTTTAAAGAGTACATAGGAAGGACTAAATTTCCCTAATGAGACTGTAACCTTCTCTTCATGACAAAGCCTATAATTTCCTCATAAACCATCTGCCCCAAAGTGTTAGTGGAAAGAAAAGATTGGGAAACACTTCCACCCTCCATTGTAAAGTCCACTGTTATCTCATCCCTAATAAAACACACGTCATTTTTCCTTATTTTTTTATAGTGACGATAATTTATTTATTACTTGTTTTTTTAAAATATACATGATAGTAGAGTTTATCTTGCCTACTACACACACATGTAGTATAACTTATTAGGATCCCATTCTGTGGTTGTACATAATGTGGAGTTACACTGGTCATATACTCATAATGGACATAGACAATGATATCTGATTTATTCTTTCTTATTCCCATACCCCTTCCTTCCCTTCATTCTCTTTGTCTAATCCAACTAACTCCTATTGTTCCCTACCCACCTTATTGTGTGTTTGCATTGGCATATCAGAGAGACATCCTTCCTTATTAAAAGAGGAAAGTTGTGCTACCCTAATACTATCCAAAGCTTCTACAAGTCTTTTCAAAGTATTTGAAAGATGTAAATTTATTCTGTAGGCCACAGTATCACTGCATTTAGGCTGAATGGACATTCAAGCCAACCCTTATTAAGTGACTTGTCATTCACCCTAGTTCTGCTACTTAATACCTAACTTTATAAAGTAACAATGTTAACGATATGGCAGTTACTATATGTCAGGCACTATTCTAAATAAATGTTTACATTAATTGATTTAAATCATTACAGCAACCCAGTAATACTTTACAGTAATAAAGTATACAGTAGTAAAGTATTACTACTATCCTCACTTTATGTGTGTGTGTAGTGCTAGGGATTAAACTCAGAGCCTCATGCACACTAAGCAGGAGTCCTAATACAGAGTTAGGCCCCAGCTTTTTTTTTTTTTTTTCCTTTTCCTTTTTTTAAACAGATGGGGTCTTGCTATGTTGCCCACACTGGCCCCAAACTCCCAGACTCAAGAAACCCTCCTGCCTAAGCCTCCGGAATAGCTGGAACTACAGGGTGTCCCACAATACCCAGCTTTCTGCCCCCATTTTATAGTCAAGAAAACCAAAGCAGAGAGAGTAAACAATCTTCCCAAGATCACACCTCTGGTGAACAGTAGAGCTGGGATATGAATTCCGGCAGTAGGCCCAAAGTCAGGTTCTTTACTACTGCCTCTCATCTCATCAAGTTATTTAGCCTCCTCTCTCCTCCACCTCCACTTTTCCACTAAGGAAGCAGAGGCACTAACAGGTCTGCATGCTCTTTTCTGAATGCTGTGGAGACAAACAAGCTTCAGAACTCAGACTATGCCATGTTTTAAGATAATAAAGCACCACCATAAATATATTAATGTTTCAGCAGTGAAATAAAATAAAAGCACGTTCACACTAAATGGGATGATTAAATGGGCTAAAAAACAAACAAACAAAAAAAAAACCCTCACATCATCTTAGGTCAGGTTAGGTTTTGCCATAAAAAAGTAGCAAAAAAGCTGGACAAGGTAATCCCAACAGCTTGGGAGGCTGAGGCAGAAGGACTTCGAATTCAAAGTCAGCCTCAGCAAAAGCAACACTAAGCAACTCAGTGAGACCCTGCCTCTAAATAAAATACAAAATAGGGCTGGGATGTGGCTCAGTGGTCAAGTGCCTGAGATCAATCCCCGGTACCAAAAACAAAAAAAAGTAAAAAAAGGCCAGGCTACACGCCTGTAATCCCAGCAGCTTGGGAGGCTGAGGCAGGAAGATCACAAGTTTGAGGCCAGCTTAGTGAGACTATTAACAATTTAGCAAGATCCTATCTCAAAATAAAAAATAAAAAGGGCTAGGGATGTGGCTCAGTGGTAAAAATGCCTCTATGTTCAATCCCTGGCACCAAAAGAAAAAAAAGCATCAAAAAGTTTAGTTTTCAAAGCTTTGTGGATTATGGAATTGCAGATAAACTTGTCAGACATGAGGCCAGGCACAATGGGACACACCTGTAACCCCAACTACTCAGGAGGCTGGGTTGGGAGTCTGAGGCAGAAGGATTTCAAATTTGAGGCCAGCCTAGGCAACTTAACAAGAACCTGTTTCAAAACAAGAAATAAAATATAGAGGTAATGGGGATATAGTTCAATGGTAGAGTGCCTGGTTCAATGCCGGTACCACTAAAAAAGGGGGGGGGGGGGGGGAGATAGAATTCTGGATATTCCTATTAATATCTGCCTTTTACAGTTGTAGGAAGTTACTTAATCTGAACCTGTCTTTATGTGTGAAATGAGTATTAATATAGGTATTAACAAAATTTACTGATTCAAATTTCCAGGGCTAAATGAAACAATGTATACAATGTACCTGGCACAGAGTCTAACATAGAAATGAGTCTAACATAGAAATACACAGTAGCTACTATTTAATATGAAAAGTAAAGCTTGGTAAACTTCTTAGATGGTAAGAGTATAAAGAAAGTATGAGTTTTAAAAGGCTAAAACATACTGTCATAGTAAGACAACTTTATAAATTAGTTCAAGGAAAAAGATAAAAATATGGACTACTTAAACTTTCATTGGGCAACCAAATTTGAAAAACAATTTGCAAGTTTAATAACCAGGTCTACAATAAGAACCTGGATCTGTCACCACTCTGCACATCTCCACATGCATTGCATGGCTTGTGATTATGTTCCATTCTAAATTAACCAGTAACTCCTTAAAACACGTTTAAGAAATTTATCTTGGGTTGGGGTTGTGGCTCAGTGGTAGGATAGAGCACTTGCCTAACATGTGTGAGGCACTGGGTTTGATTCTCAGCACCACATATAAATTAAAGTAAAAGTCCATCAACAATTTAAAAAATATTTAACAAAAGAAAAAATAAATTTATCTTTCACCAAGTGTGGTGGCATATACCTATAATCCTAGGTACTCAGGTACGCGAGGCAGGAGGATCACAAGTTCCAGGTCAGCCTGGGCAACTTAACAAGACCCTATCAGAATAAAAAATAAAAAGGGCTGGGGATGTAGCTCAGAGAGTGAGTGCACTAGGTATGAAAAAAAAAAAAAAAAAAAAAGCAAACTGGTAGAATGGAGCTCAGAAATCTATGCACATTTGTTTTGAGGACAACTGCCCAAACGTGTTTGCAAAATCATCTTATACTAAATTTACCCAAAAATTCACTTAACCTCTACTCATGCTCTCCTAAGATCTGCCCAGCTAGCTTCTGTTCTACGGGTAATGTGTGTCTGAATTAATTGGGGAATTTAGGGAGAACAGGACCAACAAGAAATGATGATGTACTTCATAGGCACAAATAACTAAGAATATCTTTCATTTTTTATCAATAGGAAATTAGCCATAACAGTCATCATAAGCACATATGAATTTTTTAATAGCACACAAAGATAAGTTGATCTTAGGAAGATCATGTGCAGTGATATCAAGAGCTTTACTTTAAAACAGTACAAAGTATGGTCTTATTTACACGTAAAAGGCAGAAAATTAAATTCATCAGAAACATCAGATCCAATAAAACATGACTGGCATGGTTTGTATATGATATATTTAGTTAACTAGCACATAAAATATATTTATAAAACTTTTTGTTAATACCAGAAGTCTCTGCTCTTAGATTTAAACTAGATTTTTAACGCCCAACAACTAATCACTTCCAAAAGAAAAAAAATCAGGTTACTGCAACATGCAATGGAAGAACTCTCTTGATACAACACAGGGGACCATCCTAGATTGTCTAGATCAGAAAGTGACTGGCACTTGACTCTGCTATTTTATTGTGGGAGCCCTTTATTGACATCTTGAGATTTAAGTAGAATAATCACACACAAAATACTTAAGTGTTTTAAATATGTACAACTCAAGACAATCATTCAAGCATATACTCGAGGACCTAAATTCTCAACCTGGACACTTTAGTATAAGCTACTGATACCACTACTCACTGCTTCACCAGAATGGCTGTATATTTTTCCCACCAAAAGTAGAGCTATTGCACCATACGTTCATGGTCTCTGCAAAGAAAAGAAATCATTGTCTTGGTTTATATTTCCTTTAAAAAGTAAATTTTCTACAAATAATTTTAAGAACCTAGACAGTGAAATCTGAAGTTTTCTCAGTTCTTTTTAATGCAAATGGTACCCACACATACACAAAGTCAATATGGTTATTTGTAAAATGTGTAAAATGATCAGTTCTGAAACACAACTAGATATAACCTTTAATATGCATGTGCCAAAGAATTAAAATGCACAAGCATTTTTAAACACAAAATATGTACTTCATGATTCTTTAATTCATGTCAGGTAAAAAAAAAAATAGTTTCAGAAAGATTTTTCAGGGTTCAAATTTGCTTTATAACTATTTAAGATGGGACTAATAAGCAGAATAATGTGTACAGAGAAGCTATTGATCTTAGTAAATAATGTCCCTTCAGACATGGATTGAACAGGTGAGAAACTACCTTTTCAGAAGCCAGAACTGAAGTTTTTACCTTTTGCAGATAATCTTGACTGGTTAAATATTTCTATGCTTGGAATTGCTAAAGTTAGAGCTGTGTTTAAGCAACAAGTCTAAAAGTTTGCAGGCAGATAAAAGATATCCATAATCATTTCTACTGCCCTAAAACAAAGGAACAGAGGCTTTCAAAAAAAAGGGATGGGAGGACTGAGATTGCTGCCCTTTCAGTTTGCTACTGTGGTAAAAGAACGTTTACATCACCAGGCCAGGTGGGATGGTGCACACTTGCAATCCCAGCAACTTGGGAGGTTGAGACAGGAGGATTGCAAGTTAAAGATCAGCACAGTAACTAAGTGAGACCCCATCTCAAAATAAAAAATTAAATCAAAAAGGGCTGGGGATGTTAACTCAGTGGTAAAGCAACCCTGGGGGTTCAATCCCTAGTACAAAAAAAAAAAAAAAAAAGGAATATTTGATATTTGCATCTGAGGGTATGCAATCAAGAAACAAAAAATCCAAAATGTAGAAAATTCTATAAGACTTTCTGGGATCCTAATTTGAACAAAACGTAAACAATCTTGGGGCTGGGGTTGTGGCTCAGTGGTAGAGCATTCTCCTAGCACATGTGAGGAACTGGGTTTGATCCTCAGCACCACATAAAATACAGGTATTGTGTTCACCTACAACTAAAAAAAAAAAAAAAAAAATTGAGATGTTCATTTTGAGACTGTTTATGACATTTTAACACTAACTAGAAGTTTAATGGTATAAAGGAATTGTTGCTATTATTTTAAATGTGAATGGTAGTATGGGGTCTTTTTTAACTATTTATCTTTTTAGAGATCTATACTGAAATATTTATGGTTATGCCTGGAAATTGCTTCAAAATAATTCAGTGAAGGCAACTGTAACAACTTTGACTAAAAAGCAGTGAATGTTGAAGCTAAACAATACATGTATGAAGGTTCATTTCCATAATAAAAGAGTTCAACAAAAGCACCTCATCACTGATTTCTTATTGTCTAAACCATTAATAATTAATAATCACTAAGTAACTTGAAGGAATACTTATTACATATCAAAATTACAAAAGCATAAGATTAAGGAAGAAAAGGAAAACCCAAACTGAATTCATAGTGTTGATTATTCTTACCAGCTAGTATTTAACTGTTTTCATTACACATTGCTAACAAGCTGAATAACAGGCAGGAAATTTAAACTAAGAGAGCTAGAGATGTAGCTCAGTAGTAGAGCAAGCACCAGAACCTGGGTACCATACCTAGCAATGCAACCAAAGAAAGGAAAAAAAAAAAAGGAGGCCAGGCATGATGGTGCTTGGGAGGGGACTTGGGAGGCTGAGGCAGAAGGATCAAAAGTTCAAAGCCAGCCTTACTCTTACAATTAAAAAAAAAAAAAAAAAAGGTAGGGAGTGTGGAGAGCTGGGGATGTCACTCAGTGGAAAACTGCCCCTGATTTCAATTCCCAGTAGCAAAGGAGGAAAAGAAAAGGCAAAAAGCCCAGGGTAAACTAGAGAACGCATGTTTTACCTAAAGGCATTCAGTTTCAAATAAATATTTCACTAAACAAAATATGTTTTTAACCAGATACTCAAACACCCTCATTTAGTGTGACCATGTCATT